ATTGCGCATCCGATTCGACGCACTGCTTGCCGCGGGGAGGCAGTCCAATGCAGTCCCTGCAACAAACAGGGCTACTCCCCCGCTTTCCTGAATCTTCAACATTCTTGGAGTGGCACAAGGCTCAGAAATGAATCCACGTGCTTACTGCACTGTGCCTTGTATTCCAGTTCCATAACCTGGACTCTTCCGTATCTTTGCTGGCTACCACTCTATTTCATTTGTTGACCGCTCGTTTAAGGATCTTTTGAGCTCGCCAGCCCCGGCTATCGTTCGGGATGAATTGGCTAGGAATACCCAGAATGGTAAATGGGAAATAAGAGCATAGTAAGAATGGTCGAGGGGCGAGCGAAACATGTAATCTGCATAATGTCGGCACTTAGGTCCCTATTCGTTCTCAGCACACTGACTTTATCAGCTGAGTAGTCCAGTGTATCAGTAAGTTTGCTTGGACGGATGGCCCCCGCGTTTGATCATTTGCACCAAACAGTAGTATCCCTGGGCTCGGATATCAGCAGATAATGCTGCTTGGTCGTCACGGTGCAATATCAAACGACCATCCGTGATCTCCCAAGGTACTTGGAATCAGAGCGGCAATGAATAAACACTGTAGACTATGACGGATAAGATTACCCAACAGAGGATCGCGGTAATGAGAATCGGCGGGTGGCAGCTCCCGTTTGGCAATTTAGTGGGGTACAGTATATCATGAAAGTCCGGGCATAGAAGTCCTGCATCCGTTTTCGAATGTAGTGGACCGTGAAGTTTTAAGTCTTCCGTACGCTCGGGGATTGCAGCCCGGAGTCTCCAGCCGTCGGGTAACCAGCAAAAAACATGTCTTCTGTAAGATCACGCTACGCACTAGATTTCGTCAGTTCGTGCTCAAGGAGGTAAAACATGGAGCAATTGGTCGAAACATATAACGTAGCGTACGCTGTTTAACATGACATACCACCAAACATCCGTCGGGCCCTTGCAGAAACGGCAAAAATCCCATCGAGATCCGGCGATAGCCATGAAGATCACCGTTAGACCATCGGAAGTGTCATATCCACGCGGTTCCTCACTGCTGGTAGGACGTTGATCGGTATGGCGGTGTACAACTCAGAGGCATCCTTCGGACCCAGTGCTGGGTTCTGGGGCTAGTATTTAATGCGGGATGTTAGCCAACTCACACCAAGAGAAACAGCTCATATTCTACCCCGTTGTCATCTGCTCCTTCATTGATCTTGCGGCATATCAACAAATCCTTCATACTTATACTCACACAACTGCACCACCTTGTACCTTTATCAGACCAGCCGCTGCTAAAACTGTCTTGTCAATTGACCTCCATGTTTACTGAACGAAGATATTGCGTCATGTATCGCGCCCATTTTGATTTCATACTTGAGGACATCCCTCGGCCAATCTGGAGTAGCTGCGAGGATGTCGCACCAATTCCCTATTCGGTGCATGATCCACCCTCGCCGGGCCCTATACCTCCTAATCCGCCCCCGAGCCCTGCATGATCTTCGATTGTTCAAGACTGGTTCTTTTCAAAGGACAGCGCAAACTAGTAGAGAAGGTAAGTTTATAAGCAACAACCTACCCCGCGATGCTGAGTACGTTCTGACAAATCTGCAATAGAACGTGATGGGAAGGGAATGAAATGTGCAGTGCACCATTGAATCAAAATCTTGACATCGTTATCAGGCGAAGGCAAGAAAGGGAGAATATCCTTGAGACATGTCAACTGCCAGGCTCTCAAGCCAAAGTCATGGGGGAAACGGACATAGAGGCGTGGCGGATTGCTTTTAATTTTGTCCTTTGATTTGAGGAGTTCACGGAGTAGAATGCACACTAGACAATGACACGGCCAGTTTCTGCATAAGAGCCATAACAGTCATGACCTAAGATTGCGTAGATCTCCAAACTCATGGCTTTAGGACATACCTATCGACAAGTACATTCCGTGAAATCAAGGCCATCGCTCCGCCTTCCCTCCGGGCGGTTGTAGGGGGTCACGGCTAAGGCATTAGTCTTTGTTTCAAATATCTCCTACATGCCGATAAATTCCACGGCTTGAACAGTTGAGACGGAGCTCAGAGTTCTGGGTGAGAAGATGTGAAGTTTAATCCAAAAACAGTCGTCAATTGACTGGTATAAAATATATTGCACGAAAACAATTTTAAAACACGACAGAAATCAGAGGTATGTCACAATAGTTCACAGGAAAGCAAGAATGAGAGCGCTAAGAGTACTCAGACCCACCACAGTCCAGCCGGACTTGATGACCTGGGCGTTGGTAAGACCAGCACCAGTATCCCAAATCAAGTGGCGCACTCCGTTCATGCAGTGGTAGGTGAAAGGCAGGGCCATGGTAGTCTTCAGGGCAACCTTGGCGACAACAGGGAGAGCGGCGAAAGCGGCGGCGGCGGAGGCAGAGCCCAGATCCCAACCGAGCATGGGAGAGGCGAGGTAGGCAGAGGCATAGAGGTAGAGACTTCCGGACAGCGCAATACCGGTGATACGGTGGATACTACTGCCGATCCATGTGATCTGGGGACGGTAGATGCTAAGGTGGGGAGAGACGGGGCGGTTGAGACGCTGCTGGGCGAGGAGCTTGGTAGGGTCGGAGGAGTTGGAGGAGGTAGCAGCGTGTCTGCATGAGAACATTAGCAATCCATGTTCCGCCTCCACTTAGCGACATTCGCTTCATGACGTCGAATTCGATATCGCGAACCCCTCCCAAGTCGAAAGTCGCATCTGTGTATTCCAATCACGCATAGTAGCTCACCTAGTCTGAACGGCTCTTCCGAGAGCAACAGCAGCCGGGGAAACCGAGTTCATCAAAGACCAACGCAGGGCGTAGGGCTGCTGAACGGCAACTGCAACATTGAGGTCAGTGTCGCGCGATCAGCTAAAGAGGATGAAGTAAGTACGTACGCCGCCGCAGCGATTGTTGAGCAACCTTCTGAGAGAGCATGATGAAATTGATAACCTCAAGGAATGGTGAGAGGCTGAATCAGGCACACGAAGCTGACCGTCGTCGTCGTAGTCGTCCAAGAAGAAAGTAGCCTCGAACTGCCGACTCGCTCGTAACGCTTCGGAATCACGGGACGGACAACCTCGGGTTCACCTCCCAGTCACGGGACTTCACCCGATGCCCCGAAAACAGCCAATGAGCAGCCGTGCATTACCACTCGGAAGATCCATCTTCCATCTCCTCACCGCCCGCTAGTTCCGGCTTTTCGACTTTTGTGTGTTTCTCCCGTCGCTTTCTCTTCCTCTTCTTTTTTCTTCTCTCCCAAGGGTCTCCGCCCACGTTGTCTACCATTCGGGATGATGTCGACGTGCTTAGCAGGGCCTCACTGGTTCGGCATTCTGTCGTGACCGCCGAGGTCAAATGAGATACCTGAGAAGGAGCTGTCCCGTCGTTAATCGCCCATTCTTCTCTATCCTATGAGATGGAAGGGTTTCATATCAGGGTCACATGACTGTAGGATTCGCTACGAATTCGCGTAGAACCAGCCTTTTAAGGCCTCGTGTAGAGCAAGCATCAAAGCTATAATGTAGCTTGGAACATGGACGCCGTCGCTGAGATTTGGGAGGTCTTCCGCTTAGATGACAGGGGTTCGATAAAACTCGCTGAACGGTCATGTACTTGCTACATTGCTTGTCAGTGATTGCTGCTGCTGTCTCGGCTCGATTTTGTTAAGCCCTCAACGTCTGTTTTCAAGGCAGACATCCAAACATAACTGCGATGTTGTGCGAGTGCAGAAAAGGCTTGCCAAACAAAAGCCCTGCAGTTAGTGGGAGAGCTCATTTGACAAGCGAGAGAAGGCCAGTCAATAATTACCTGAAGGCCATAGGGTGCTCAGCAGGCCCATCCATAAGCTCATCACAGCAACCTGCGATTTCTATCACGTTCAATATACAGAACTCTCGATCCCATGATCATGTTGTTGTCGCTTATCGAGCTTATCAAATGTCTTCTCCATAAGAGGCCTGATGTTCAGACCGGTAGTAGCCAAGAGAGATGATGTCTAATATATATCAACGGCTGAGGAAAATCATACAGAGAAAACGTGCTAGTATTCTTTCATTCCGCAGTAATATGAAGGCAGCTGATTCCAATGTAATTGTACAAGCGTTTGCTTCATAGTCATAGTCGATGCTCTCGCCTCATAAAACTGAACTTCCAGTCACTATCTCTAAATAAGCCCCAAGTAGCATGTAAGAAGTCTTCTCAAAGCCGGGGCAAGTGCGGGGAGAGTCCCGCAGCAAAATGATCATGGCACGCTAAACTCTGACAACCTCAACTAGTCTACAATTCTATTTAGAACCCATAACATTGTTCGGAGCATGCAAAAATATTGGTTGTTGAGATCTCAGGCGATAGGAACTATTGGGGCGGTGTATGGACAAGGAAAATGAGGAGTTGTGGTCATACAGTTGTCAACAGTATATCTATAGACAGGTAAGCTACAACCGACCACCACCAAGTTGCAAGTACTCCTGGCGATCGATATGCTCGCAAACCATGTACTGGTACTGGAACAAATTTTAAAAAATCATTATCTGTGTACCTTCCGTAGCACTTGGCTGACAACTGTCGATCAATATGTCTATCCTGGAGCTTAACCTCGCCTTACCCTTAAATGACAGGAGGCTAGTCAGTGATGTATCTATCCTACGGACATTCTCCGTAGACATCGGTATTCTCTCCCGACCAACCCTCCGACCACCAAGAAGGTCGGAGAAAGAGACTCTCGGCCCGAAAGCGTCCAAGGAATCAATAGTATAAAGCAATTATTTAGGCTAAATAAATGAAATGGCATGAGGGGAGGTTTACGAGGCATGCTTATCTGATCTTCCCCTCCTCCCCTCCATGCCCAGCCCATGTAGTTCGTATTTCAATAGATATCTTCATCTCTTCAACTCTCCAATACCAAGATATCATAGCTTCATCATCCAAATCATCATTCAACAATCCACCATCCGACAGTACAGCATTCACCATGACTATCCAAACTGGACTCGACTACATCCGCTCTCGCTCCATTGTCGACTGCGACACCATGGACGAGCAAGGCACGTATCTTGCTTCATGCACCTCCACTATCTGCTAACATACAAGCACAGTTGCCAAAACCCTTGGTCCTTTCCACGACTGCACCTCCAACCAGGTATACACCTACTATCCACTCTACTCACCCCCTCCTTACCACCAAGCTAACAACACCACAGGCAATAGCTTACAACGAACTCACTAAGCCCGAACATGTCGAGCTTCTCCAATCCTCTCTCACCAAAGCCAAAGCTTTCATCCAAGAATACCCCGGTCTAACCATCGAAGAACTCGCCGTCGAGATAGCAGTGCGTACAGCTTCCCTTCGTCTTCTCAACACCATCAACTCACCACAACTATATATAACTTGACTTACTAGATGATATCCCTCTCCCTAAGAATCGCACCCCACATCACCGGTCACATCCACATCCAAACAAACCCCTACTACTCCTACTCCACCGAAAAGACCATTGTCAACGCCCTCCGTACGTCCATCCATTCCTCCATATATCCCCTCTACATACACACAATAGAACAACAAATCACCACTAACTCCACCCCCCAAACCACAAAACAGGCATAGTCAACCTAACCCACCACCTCTCCCCCACCCACCCGCAATCCCGCATCTGCATCAAAATCCCCAGCACCTGGGAAGGTCTCAAAGCATGCCAAGTCCTCGAACAAGCCGGGGTGCGAACCCTCGCCACAACCCTCTTCACCATGCCTCAAGCCATCCTAGCAGCAGAAGTAGGATGCACGTACATCGCACCATACGTGAACCAACTGCGAGTGCATTTCGAGCCGGGGTAGATATCACCCTCCCTATTACCCCCCTCCCCCCATAAACCCACACAACTATATCCAGTAGTACTAAATGAAATTGAAAATCACAGCTTCAAAGACCCCTCCCCCCTGCTACACTTCAGCGCCCTAGTCCAGAAATACTACGTCTCCATCGGATTCCCAACACAGGTATTACCCGCTAGTTTGACGTCCACGAACGAGATCTTCGCCTTGGCGGGCGTGCAGCATATTACGATTGCTCCTGGGTTGTTGGAGGAGTTGACGAAGCCGTGGGAGGGGAATGTACCGGTAGAATCGCTGTTTGAGTCCCCTGCTGTGGTGGAGGGGGCTGTGCCTGGGAAGGAAGTGTCGTATGTGGGTGATGAGGCGGGGTATCGGATTGCGTTTACGAGGGATGCGAATGGGTTGAGTGAGGAGAAGTTGACTCAGGTGAGTTTGGTCAAATTTTTCATTGTTTGGTTTGGTTGGGGGGATGAGGTGGTTGGGTTGTTGTTGGTGTTGATGCTAATGGGTTGTACTACTGTCTAGGCTGTGAATATTTTCTGTGATATGCAGGATAAATTGGTCCAGGTTTTTAAGGGGTTGAATTGAGTAGGAGGTAGCACTGAGATAGTACCTACTAGCTATGTCATTGATTAGGACAATAGGATACTCTACAATCAATCAGACCAAACATACATCTATCTATCCTGATAACCTTTGTTCTCTTCTACCTACCTACCTATCTACCTACTTCCACCACACCACCCCCTCACCCGCTTTTAACCAAGCAAATCAATCGAACTAACTTTCTAGGTACTTAATAACGATCTAGCCAGCCCACCAACCAACCAACCAACCAGCAACCCACCCTCAACAAAGCAATGGAGAGAAAGCAAAGCAAAGCAGCATACAGGCACGCAAACGGACTTGGGAGTCTGGGTCTGAAAACGCCTGCTCATGCAATATAAAATGCCATGCCAAAATGGATATAGGAAAGGGGGATAGAAGAAAAAAAAAAGAAACACTATATACCTTTTTTTTTATCATCCTTAATTCCGAAACAGACAAAAGCCGCATACAAATAATTCAAGCAGAATGGAAAGCAGACAGACGGACATATGGATAGAGAGATAGAGGACAGGAGGGATATGTGTGTGGGTGTCGGCGATAAGAGCTTCAGTGTGTGTGTGGGTGAATGTTTTGTAAATGGTCACATGAGAACATCAGTCATCAAACCAAACCGTGGGGGAATCTAGGACTGAAACAAATGATCGGATGGGTAAAACAAATGAAAATGTTAAGATAAGATGAAAAGACCACAACATCATGCGCTCAATCGCTGGATAAAGGACTGTCGGGACCGTTAGCAAGTCTAAAGCGTTAGATATGTGGGTATAATCACATACCGGGAAGAACTGCCGGAATCCCTTCATGTCCAGCCGGCCCAATGCTCCCACAAACTCCTCCACCAAGTCAGCTCCCATTCCCATTCCTGGCAACTCGCGATCCCGCAAGTACTGGAGGTACTCCATTCCTGTCTTGGCGTATATCGTGCGCTGCAGACCTCCTGCTTCGGCGAGGACCTGCTTGGCCTGTGCATCCTTCGAGTTGAAGGACGGGGTTGCGGGCAGCGCCCAGCACAGAGGCGACAGCCGGGTGATCATGAACTGACCAAATCCTGGCAGTGCTTGTTGCTGGGCTGCCGCACCATTCGCACCCTCCGGCGCAATGTCGGGCCCGCCCCAAGAGCTGCCCATCTTTGACAGGACCGAGAACGCCATCTTAGCAGTAGTGAAGTCCTCAATGTCCTTGGCGAAATGCTCGATAGTACCGATGACCGTTTCGAACATGGGTTGGTTCCCTAGTGTCGTTAGTTGTGATTCTAGTATCAGAATCAATGAAACTTACGCTCGCTAATGATAACGGCCCCAAGCTCGTTGTTCAGGACCGCCAGCAGGAAGTTGAGGTATTCCCGCTTCAGCTCGGCCAGCTGGACCTCGTCATCAGTGCCGGTCGGGGCGTCTGCAATGCCAGAGAACACCCGCTGCAGGAATGGGGTCAACAGCGCATCTAGGATAGAGTAGATCTCCGCCTTGAAACCGAAGATGACTTGATCCAGCAGTCGCAGGAACAGAGCCATCTCATCCCGGGAGGACGTCTGTGTGAGCAGACCGTCAATCCACCGCGGCAGCTGGGGCAGGATGCGGGATCCCAGAACGCCAATAAGGCGCGAAAATGCAAACCGAGCAGCTGTTCTGACATTGAAGGATGTCTTCAGCGACTCCAGCGCGACGAGAGTAGCCTCGGAGACCTGCATGAACGCCTCCGAGACTTCAGGTGCAGGCAACGAAGCGGGGGAGCTGGTTCCCGGCATCCAGTCGGAGAAGCCTCTGGCAAGCGTACCCAGTGCCATGATATCGTGGTGTATCTGCAGTAAAGCCCGCTCATCATTGGCCTTAGCCGGGGCCAGGTTCTTCTCCATATCCATGAAGACGGGGTTCAACACAGACTGTGCGTAGAGGACCTGCTTGTCAGCGGGAACAGTCGGGGTGGAGCAGATGATGCCCACGGCCTCGAACAGGTACAGCTGGCTGTTAAAGACAGCATCGGCCGACCCCTCGTGGTCCTCTGAGGACATCTCATCTCCATCCGAGCCTTCAGTAGGCAACTCAGCGTTGATCACGAGCAAGTCGCCCAACGCCTCGACGACGGTCTGCGCCACATTTCCAACATGGGTTCTGAGTTGCTTTACCAAGCGCTGGAAAAGGTACCATGACCGTGTCTTCACCTTCTTGACCGGGTGATGAACAAGTTGGAGGAAGCTCTCTAGCACGGTCGGAATCAGATGGGTGTGATACTGGAAGAAGGAGCTGTAGCGAACACAGATCTCCATGTACTGCAACTGGGTGGCTGGGTGGGTGAAAGACCGGATGTCTGACTCGACCATCTTCAACATCATACCGACCAACCTCTCCGCGGCCGCGTTGTTAGGAACTCCCTTGTTGTACAAGCTGCCTGCCCTAACGGCAACCTCGCCGAACAAGAACATCTCATGGAGAGCCAGGTCCAAGTCCCGCCAGTCGAGCTGAGCCCCCGATTGACGCAAGCTCTCGAATGTGTTTCCCACAACCTCCGAGACAGCCTCCATGCAGAGCTGCTCGTTGACGCTTGCGACGATCTGCTGCAGCACGCCCAGGCGCTTCCGAAGTTCCTGGAATTCTGCCTCGTCTGTCTGATCGTCTTCGTCACCCCAGGATGAGGTCTCATCGTAGCGCATCTTGGCGATGATGGCTTTCAGAATGGGAAGCAGGATGGATGAATGTTGTTCGGCCAGGGCAGGGTTGACCTTGGCGATCTTCCGCAGATAGGACAGGAGGTCGCTCACGCAGGGGATCACAGTCGAGCAGACTTCATCGTATTCATCGGAGAAGTATCTCAGAATATGCGGCAAGAAGGCCTGCAGCAGACCGGTGGCTTTGGCATTGCACTCGGCCGTGACGGTGTCCTGCTCCAAAGCCCGTACAATATCAATGACGGTAATGTTGACTAACTTGGCCACCGTTTCCGCCAGGTCAGTATCGTACTTGAAGGTAAACCTGTTATCATGAAGAGGGGGGCTGTTCGAGAGCTGAGTAACAATAGTATCGAGATTCAGGAAGATGATCATATCCATCTTATCTTCTGGCTTCATCTTCTTGCCGATAATTTCCGTGAAGACGTCAACCGCCGCATCGCGCACCTTCTCTTCTCCTTCTCGGAGCCCCGCCTTCTGCGCTCGACCGAGCTGCTGGAACAAAAGGTCCAGCATGGTCTGGTTCACCACAAGACCGATATCGATCCAGCTGACCCAGCTGCCGACCGCCCTCAGGGACATCTCGACGATCGTATCATTTCCGTCCCGCCATTCGGACAAGATCTGCTGCCACGAGTTGGCAATTTTCTGCATGTCGCGCGAGCGAATCAAATCCTTGAGCAGGTTGGCCTTGTCCTGCTCGGCGCGGGACCGAGACACAAGCACGTCACCAATTTCCTCATGGATCGCATTGATGACACGCAGGTAGAAGACAATTCCGAGCGGGTTGTCGTGGCTCGTGCTGGCCGAACTCTTGTATGTGAGGCTGAGGAGGTCGTCGAAGAAAGTCTCCCAGCCATTGCCGTAGAGAGCTGAGAAGAGGAAGGTGATGGTCTGGGCGATCTTGTTTTGGATACTGGTCGGATCGGGGGTAACGTTGTCCTGACCGTACACCTGGCGGAGATAGGCCATCAGGCCGTCCCGGACATAGCCCAACGCCTGGGGGTCAATGAAACCCGCCTGGGCCGCACTGTTGACCACTTCCAACGCCACATGCCGTATGATCTCGGAGTATTGCGGAGTCTTAGTGAAAAGGGTAAGGCAGACCTGCCATCCGGAGGGATCGGTGCGGAGTTGGTTCAGGTAGTCGAAGGCCTGAGCCTTAAGAGTTTGGTCGGAGGTTGGGTTCCCGGCGATTTCAATGGCATTTGCTACCTACACGGGGGAGGGTCAACGAGAGGTCGACGGAGGGGGAAACATGGGAATGAGGGGAAATATGAGAGGGGGGAGAGGGGGATATAAGAAAGGGGAGGAGGGGGTAGGATGGAGGGGAAGAGAGATCGGTGGTGGGGTGTGGGCTGAACAGAAAAAGAAAAAAAAGCGAGCAAAGGTAAAAGAAGACAAAGACCAAAATAGGGTCAATGTATAGACTAGGGACAGCAGCTTACCTGCTCTTCCATCTTCGACCAGCCGGGCTGCCTTCAGAGTCGCAGGACTCGGAAAGCAATGAGGGTGAGGGGGAGGGATCAAGGAACGATGGAGGTGGTTGTTCGGTCAAAATGCAGATGGCGGCGGAGAGTCATAGCAGAACAGAACTAGTCGCAGAGGCCAGCCTATTGAGCCATCACTAGTGCGTTGGAGCAAGTGGATTCTTCCTTCGGCGTCAGACCCAGTCACCTGGGGAAGCGAGAAACCGCAAATTCTGCTCACCGGACGAGGTGTACAATAGCTCGTCAGTATAGGGGCTTGTGGACTTGGTATTTTCAAGAAAACCGTGAATGCTCTCGTGCCGATGACGTGCCGCCGGAAGGAAACAAAAAAGAAAACGACGAAAGAAATCTTTCGTGCCTGAGTTTGTGTGGCCGCTGTTCCGCCCCAAAAGGGCAACGGGCGGCGTGCCGTTGCTGCCTGACCATTCAGGCATGTCTCAGATATAGTTACCCTTATGTCTACCCAACTATATGCCTTGTTTACTGATTGTTCGATATCATTGCATTGCAATTCATAACTCTACCATTATTAGTTTGAGCGGTCCATATCCCACTCAGCTTCATCCTCGCGCTCAGTGCTTCCCTTCCTGGCGCAACACCTCATTCTCCATTTTCTCAAAGCCCTCTACAGCCTGGCCGTAACGTTCAAACACTCCAGGCTGGTAACCGTCCGCGATCTTTTCGATAAACTCCTCCTCGTGCCACCGTTTTCCAATCAAATCTTCAAAAGTCTGTCCCTCAGCTCGCTCCATGGCCCAAACCGCCTTATACGCTGCACCCAGCGCACAGGCGTTGTCACCAATCTCCAGCTTATACACTCCCTCACT